TCACTGAATAAGTTAAACTTAAGTTGTTGTTTTTTTTTTTTTTTGAATGTGTTCGACTAAGCTTGTGAACAGTTGGTTTATTCAAGATTGCTGTACTGGTGCATAGTTATAAAATAAATGTGCAATTCAGTAGTTCATTTCTGTCTCTTTTTATTTTTAAACAGGAAAGAAATGTTTCAATTAATGCTGTTTTTCAGAATTGGATCGGATCTGTGTCGGCTGATACTAAACCTCAGCTATCGGAATCGTTATCGGAAGTAAAAAAAGGTGGATCGGTGCATCCCTAATCACAAGTCCAAGTGTGAACAGTGTCACAGAGTATAAACACAAAACTATGCATTATCTGCAGCATTGTTCACTAAAATGGCACCATTGATGTATTAAAATATACATACAGTAGGCACGCTTCATGATATTGTAGACCATTAGGGAATACATTAAGCAAGTACTTTTACTTTTAATACTTTAAGTATTTTTAAAAGCAAATACTTACTTTTACTCAAGAAAAATGTTAATGTGGTACTTTTACTAGAGTACATTCTTGTCTGTTTATCTGTACTTTTACTTAAGTACAGTATTTGAGTACTTTCTCCACCACTGCCTGCATGTAAAATCAACAATAAGCAGTCAGTTCAAGCATTCTGCTCAGGATTTCTATCCAGCAGCTTGGATCCAGCATGAACAATTTAAGTGCCTTTGAAAAGTTTTTATATTTTAAAAGTCTAGTTTGTTTTTATTTGATTTATTGAGAGGATTTTAGGCTGTGTTTTATTATTTTATTTWATTGTACAATATTCTTATGTTTAAGTTAGAAAAACATGTACCAATGGTTAATAATAAATGGGACCAGTCTTTTTCATACCTACTGTTGTTGACTACTGTTTACCGTTTGACCTGATCAAGACTTTAAGATTCCACACTACAAAAAAGTAGTAAAACCATGTAGGATTCATTCTGATATTGTATTGGGACAATATCTGCCAATACTCAAGGCTGCAATATCAGTATTGTATCAAAAAGGAAAAGTTGTATCGTTGACATACCTGTAAAAATGCTTAAGAGTGTCCAACTATGAGTGAACTCTTTTATTAAAAGTGACGTCAACGTCAAACTTTTAAAGATGCTCAGTCTGAAACGGACCGTTTTACTGATAATGTAGTGCAGTGTCATTACTTTGTAATGAGCTGGTTCTTTGAAATACACTTAGTTTAAAAAAAATGTTTATATCTACATGTTCCAGCTGTGCTCTGCAAAAACAGATATCTCAGCTTAAAATACTAAAGAAAATTAATATACAAGTACAATTGCATATAAAAAGACAATAAAATAGCAAGTTTAAAATGACACTTAACACCAAGTTAAATACTGAAAAAAGCTATGAATGTATTTAGGTACGGGGTGCCTGATTTTAAACGTGCATTAGCAAATTTAATCTATAAAGAGATCCCTCAGTGCCCTGCAACAGTGGTCATCCTCAGATTACACAAACAATTTTATTTACAATTTTATTTGCATCTAGATTATTTAACAAGAACTCCTTAAAGGAATGCATGCTGCCCACCAACTAACAAGCCAAAGTTTTACACAAAGAGCTTGTAAGATCAGAGTATGTGTTAGGAATAATGCTCAGCTTTTACCACACCAAATCTTAGTTCAATAAAACATGTTTTAAAGTCACAGCACAAATGAAAAGTCAGTACTTTCAAATGTTTAACTTCAACTACTAATTTACACTCATGACCATATGGATAACATTTGCAGTATTAACTGTCATGTACCTCCTTCAACATGAGATTCATAAAAATGAGTGAGCTCTCAACCACTGGTCATGCTGTGGTTTTCACCCAGCATCCTCACCTGGGGAACAGACATCGGCTGCATGGAGTTCATCATGTCTGGTGTYTCTTTCCCCCAGTAGCACTTCACTATGTGGCCCTCTATTGAAGAGCCATTCACTGACACAATGGCATGGGCTGCTGACTCATGGGAGTTGAACCTGGACACAAAATGGAAATGCTACAAATATACACACAATTTTATGCTCAACAAAAATGTGTTCTGTCAAAACAAAAAGAAAAGAAAGTGACTGATTTGTACAAATGATGTGTGGTAGAAAGATGCTGCAGCAGAAACCTGACAAACCTGTTCTTATCAAAGTGGTGACAAACTGTGCTCTAATGTTTAGTGCCAGCATTATATTCAGAAGAAGCAGGGAGAAAAGTAATTCCTAACCTCACAAATGAATAGCCTTTGTCTGGAAAAACTCTGACTTCCATGATTTGTCCAAAGGGAGAGAAGGTCTGTCTCATCAGTTGCTCTGGAAAACAACCAGAAAAAGAGAATTGGTTATTATTTGTGTTGATGGATGAAAAACGGGAAGCGATCACTGGGTATAAAATGTAACTGGAAACATATTTCTTTGTGGATCAACTTTAAAATCTTAAGAATAGAAAATTCTGTAGAACCTTGGTCAAAATTAATGGATTGGGATCAGTCTGTAGTCATTTAAACACAGGAGGACCATGTTACCTTTGTTTGGTCTTGAATAAACATTAGGTTTGCTTAGAATAAAAAAAAGTAAGCTAATCGGACAGCAGTAGAGGTGCAGCAGCAGTGGGAACTATGCAGAACATTGTACACAAACTCTGGAACCATCAACGACAATATTTACTTTAAACAGAACTTCAGAATTATGACAGATCCAACTGAAGCCATCCCTGAATCAACCCAACCAAATCAAAACTCAATCTTTATTCTCACTAAGGCTACATTCACACTGCTGCTCTTAATGCTCAGTTCTGATTTTTAATACAATTTTTAGGAGTGAATGTTATATTTTAATTGCATTTTCCATCTGACCCCAGTGTGAACTCACCACGGCCTTGATGCGACACGCATGTGTAAAAAATGCAGTGACGTCACATCTAGAGTTGGGCATAATCGTATCCTGTGCAATTAATCGGCAGAAAAACATTAATTGATTAATTTTTGGCACTTGACGATTAATACGATTAATACCACCAGGCAGACTGACTGCTTGGTGCTTCTCTCCCCTTCAAACATGATGAACATTAAAAAAAGGTTCTGTAATTTATTTATCTATCAACACAATTTAAAGTTTGATGTATAGCCTGAAGTCTGTAATTTTGACACAATTTGGAACAGATTTTTACGAAGAGCCAATTTTCGCCCTATAAATTGGTCATGTGACTAGGATACAAGGGTGTCCAGGGACTCTGGGGGATTCATCTTCAAATTAATCGTTATTGGCTAAATACAACACATTAATCGTGATTAATTTTTTTTGCCAATATTGCCCAACCCTAGTCACATCCAGCTCACTGTTTACGGAAGTAGCTAAACATGGATGCTAGCTGTTAACGTGTCGATTCTTAAGTTGTTGTGCAATTAGAGTTGATTAAATAATTATCTCACTTTCTTGTTTAGTTCAGTGTTTATATCTGAACCTGCCTCAGACTGGATGCTCCGGTGAAGCATTTTTGGTCACATTTGGTTGCAGTGTGAATGTAGCCATAGACATGTTCTCAGTTTGAATGTATAATCACATTCAGGTGTATGTTCTGGCTTCAAGTTGTTCATGCTTCATCTTACAAACTTATCCACTTTACAACAATCCTACATGCACTAACACAAAGTACAACAATATATTGATTCAATATTAAGTCAGACATTAGCAAATGATTCAGTCATCAAATTCTCTTTTCCTCTTCAACATCTATGTCTTCACGACAGTTGGTCGACACGGCGCTGATGTGGTGTTTAAACACTGACGCATGCTAAACTAAAACACAGAAGATGAGCTGATGAGACAAGTTTAACATGGAAAAAAACTCAGACTAATGCAGGAAATGTATTTGGTGAAAGCAGCATAACCTTTTTCCCTCATGTGGATCTGTTTCTGACGATGTTGTMCCAAGTGTTTTCGCACAGATGATTGTTTAGTCTTACTAAAGGACAACAAGGAACATTCTGTCTGTGGCAGTCAGTAAACATGTCTGCTTCTGTGGAACAAGTTTCTCAGAAAGGGTTTTCACAACAGGACATTAGTCCTCCCTAAACATCAAGATGTTACAAGCTTAAATGATGTAGTTGGTGTGTAAAAAAGCAAGAGTAATAAATATTTATTTTGGTAGGTCTAATATAAAATGACTGCTTTTGGTCATTTTTAACTTATGTAGTTTTTTTTTTTTCTTTAACGTCCAGGTTAGACATGAATTTTTCCTATTTGACTGAGAGTAAAAAATAATTGTTTTGAGAAAATCATTATTTTAGTTCCCACTAACAAAAGCTGTWATGCACATTTTACATCCTTAAAAGTTAGTATTGAAAATGCTTGTGTGTATCTGTGCAGGGAGAAGAACTTCTGTGTATTTAARTGCTAATAAAAGTGACCAAAAACTGACTGAATGTCATCACTTGAAAAAATAAAACTAAAAAAATTATGAACCTTTCTGTCAACTCTTTTCTGGAAAAGAAAAATGATTAAACTGTATGGCAAGAATAAGGTGATAKGATACATGACATAGGGGTCACAATATGATATATTGCAATATTGCGATACTGTAAGCAAGGCAATATATTACCATTTTTTATCATCTAATATCTGACGGGACCTCTGCATCAGCCATACTGTTTTTAGCTTCAGAGTATATCACTGTTTTTATTTCTATCTACACTGTATAGATGCCAAAGTATGCTAATTGTTCTCTGTGTTCATTTAGTTCCCCGTAGYGTTTATACTTATTTCTTCTTTAGATTGTTCMTTTTTATGTACAGTGCYCTGAGACAACGTATGTTGTGACTTGGCGCTGTATAAATAAACTGAACTTGAACTTCTTCCTTGTGTGCTCTAATATTTTTTCCTTTATATTTTATCTGTAATGCTTACTTGAACGGTTGCAGCTGTAATAACTGCAATTTCCCTCCGGGGATCAATAAATATTCTGATTCCGACTCTGATTTTCTCAAATTCTAATTTTAAAAAGCTCAGTATGTTTTATATGTATTTTATTATGACCCCCGCATGCAAAGCATAAGCGGGAGTCATGTTGTTTTCGTACTGTTTTTTTTTTTCCTCCGGTGATTTTGGGTCAACCGTAGCACAAAAACGACTGCACCAATCAACAYGAAACTTGGCAGGACTGTAGATGAGTCTGACCTACACTGCTCCAGCCAACGGTTTTATGATAGACCCCATATTTGAGGAGGGGGCTCCTTTCAAAGTGGCGGTGTCTGGACATGCAAAAATGCTTATAACTCAGAAACTGTTCAACATAGGAGCTTCAGATTTCTTTTGTTGTTTAGCTCTGATGAAGCTCTGTCCATCAGGCCCACCAATCAGTTATATTCTCAATTATACTCTGAGGCTCTTTAGGAGCTGAGGAGCCAAATGGCWGATTGACTGCTGCCAACTAGTGGTYGGAGGCTAAATTACAACATAAGAATGCACTGTTGGCATGAATGATTACATTTTAAACCTAATGCAGTATTGGGAAACTAAACATTGCAATATTTCAGAGTATCATTATTTTCTTACACCCCAGAAAAGTATGTCAAACCTGCACCATTAAAACTAACAGTGGTGTTTCATTTTATTAAGTACCTGTGAGTCCTGAGCTGACTCCACCACAATACACAGTGCAGTTACTGGGGCTGGACTGACTCATCACTTCATCAAACGATAGATGCTTGGAGTTGTCTGGTAGGAGCAAAGAAAAATTAAAAATTCCAGTAAAATGTCAATTGAACACACAAAGAAAACTTYGTCTACACAATTGTGTCTCCGCACTTTCATAGGTGGTCTTCGGGGCAGGAGGCTTTCTTGTGGCCCAGTTAGTTCGAATCTGTCTGCCACCTAACCACTGCCCTCCCATGTGCTGAATSGCGTTCTCTGCGTCCTGAAACAAAGAACAAATCTGGTCATCAAACGTAGTATAACATAAAACCTAATCTGCACACCTCTTCAGCAGAACACAAAGCAAATCTGTGTTACAGAACACAAACTTTGGAGTTTGTTTTWGAAATATTTTCAGAATTAATAAGATGGCTGCTTACCCATTTATTGAAGAAAGACACAAAGCCATAGCCTTTAGATTTCCCTGTAGCCATATCTTTCACAACCCGAGCATCTCTGTTCAAAGAAACACCAAATTTAGCAAAACAAAAACTGCTGTATTAAATAGAAATAACATATTTGGCTTCATTTTAAAAAAAACATATCCAGCTTATTCTAACACAATGTAATTGGGGAAATTGTCTCTGCTGAATGTTTTGCACTTGCTTTTCGTTTTTGTCGAAAGGCCACATTTTATAAAAGATAAATAAGTAACTGATTTGTGACAGGAAAAACATTATCGATACTACTTTACTTTCTCGTGTCAGAGCAACCTAGGCAATCTTGTAAAATATTTTTAAAATATAATCAGTTCATCACTTACGATATCCTGCCAAATGGTGCAAAGGCAGCTTTGACATCTTCTGTGGTTATTTCTGGACTGAGRTCACCAACAAAGACATGAAAGTGATCTAGGTGGGGGAGAAAATTATTTAGCTCTTCCAATCCTCTCACTTCATCAAAACGTGTTTATGTATGAGTACAAACTGCAGGCTCCCAGAGAGGCGCTTGTACTTACTACTTGTGTCTTTTTTCTGGCTGGATGGTGTTGTTGCCCAGTTGACTTTGACCTCCTGCAGACAAAAAAAACAGGCCAGGTGGGATACATTTACATCAATAAAACCTCCACTATATGGGTGAATAACGTAAAGACAAACTTATAAATACCACTAAAGATTAAGTAATACAYGCAAGCAGTTTTAGTCAATCTTTTGTGGTGTTTTAAAACTCAGTTCACCACTTATAGGTTCAGAAAGAAGACAAAATGTTGAATATGATCTTAGTTCCTCAGCTACCTTAATATACACTGCTCAAAAAAATAAAGTGAGCACTACTGCTCAAAAAAATAAAGGGAACACTTAAACAACGCACGCTAAGTCCAAGTAAATCAAACTTTTGTGAAGCACATCCAACTCTGTACAGAACAAAGTACTCAATGCGAATATTTCATTGATTAAGATCGGGAGTTAGCGTGCGTTGTTTAAGTGTTCCCTTTATTTTTTTGAGCAGTGTATTTTCTACCAGTACAAATTAAAGTTGTTAAATAGTTACATAAAGGACATCAATCGAATTAATAGCAACTCTGTATTGTAATTTTATCAGGCCCTTTTGATCTTTTAAAGGTTGTAAAATAAAACTGCTTCATTGTTCTGTGATATTTATTTACTCAATTACTTTGGTTTTTCAACTTTTATTTACATACCCTGACAGTTTAAGTTTAAGAGAAGTAAGCAGGATTAGTCTCATCATCTTATTAATAACTGTCTGATAGTCATACACATTAGAAGTAACTTTGCTGCTTTCCTTTGTTTTTGTTATATTAAATTATTACATTAATCCTGGGAAGTGAGATACTAATTATGGTCATTTTATAAAATGCACAAGCATAACTSTCCATCCCCACAGCCCACCCACCCGTCCCCACTCACCCTGTAGATACGATAGCTTACCTTACCCAATATTTTCCTTCCATTCATGGCAGCCAATGAGGCAGCTGCATGTCTGTGGTCATAAAACTCCACAAAGCAATATGGATCGTTCCCAGCCGTCTGTCAAGGAGAAACACAGATTTAAAAGTCAATGCTGAGGACTAGAACCACCTAATGACTGCTATGCTAAGCCACAAAATAACAGATTAATAGCAGGAGAAAAATACACTCACATTTCACCATGAATTTTGTTTATGTGGTGTATATGCATTTTTTTGTGTAAAAATACCCAACACTCACATCATTTATCATTTTACAGCTTTTACAGGGTCCTATCTGTGTGAAGACCTGTAGAATGAGAGGCTCCGTGACATCCCTGGACAGATTTCCCACATATCTGCAGGCAAAAAGACACAGTATGCTTCTAAACAGGAAGTCACATGCAAACAAAGGTTAGCACGCCGGGCTAGCAAGAGCAACATCGATTTCTATATTCAACTAAACAGAACCGAAATGAGGGGAAAGACTGAACAATTCAAAGCATTTATCTATGTTTTGTAAAAGTTAGAGAAGTCCGGTCACCCTCTCACGAGTCAGACATGTAGTCTGTCCGACCGTTGACGTGGCTGCGCTGCCAAGCTAGCCGCTTCAAACAGGCCTTAGCTTAGGTCCAGTGTTGAGACCGAATAATACTTTTAAAATCACAAAGTCAACTTCAGTCTATATAGTGTTTACCCACTGATGGTAAAACAGTACCACTATTGTACAGATATTTATAATAATATTAATATGACAGGWAAAGGTTTGCCAATTTAACAGGAACGCTAATGGCTACATGCTAGCCACAGTTTCTGTTTCGTGCTAATGAATAGGTTTTATTTTTACAGCAATAACTAACAAAATAATGTTCGTCAAAATCCCTGTGACGTTAAGAAAGATCACTAATGTTTAGATTTTGTATCAATGTGAAACATATTACACAGTGTGACATTATGATGAGGATTTAAAGCTTTGTGAAACAACAACGTGGAAACATTTCGAGCGCACAGTAACTAGACGAAGCCTACGCATTCCTGGACATAGACAGGGCCGCTGATACTCACAGGGTTCTGGGCTGTTCGTCGTCCATCGTGAAGATTTAGCGGTGGGGGTCCTGAGAGGTCTTCAGTCCAATGACATACACARGGTTTGACCAAATTTGAGCGTAAACGCAAGAATTGTAAATGTAGGGTGAATAATAAATCCGCGTCGGATTCTGCTCTCACACAGCACAGACAGCCTCTCGCAAACAATAGGAAGTTGAAGATGGCGGAGGAGCGGCGTCAGCAGCGACGTTAACCTGTCAGCAGCGCGCTGAAACCTAAACTCAGCCACTGATTCTCACACAATAAATTTACTCACACATCTGATTGTCATGAGGTACTCTAACACAGAATGTCACTATTGGCTCGTTGGGTAGATATTTTACATTTGCCTGGTTTTATTACTCATAGATATAAATATACACCACARTGTATATAAGGGTAAATTAAAATTAAGTGTGTTAAATTTATAATAACGGTATTTTGTTGTAAAAGTCACTTAGTCAAAGTGGTAATTTTTGTCCCAAAGTAAAAATAAAAGCGATGTGCGCCGCCCGGGAATCGAACCCGGGTCGCAAGAATGGGAATCTTGCATGATACCACTACACCAGCGGCGCTTCAATTATAKCGATGAAACAGGATGAAAACATGATCTCTGTATTTCTGTTCGGTACATACTGCCTTATTTATGTTTTTAAGTGGTCTTTCGGCACAGAACTTGTACTGACATGAATAAAACAGTGTTTTTAAGAAAAGATGGTTGTGTCGTTGATTGTAAATACAGCAGAGGTGGATAGTAACAGAAGAGTTGTTGCACAAAAACAGATAAATCTTTAAATGTAAGAATTTAAATAGGTAAAATGATTAATCCTTTCGTGCTATAAGAAATCAAGACAAGTTAACAGGTTCCAGTTCATTTCATAGAAATGTATTTAGCAAAAGGTTTTTTTAAACAAGATTAAGTTGTTCACAGATTACCTGAAATACTCCCACTGTGGTACCCAGTCATGACTATCAACATGAGTGATCATGAGGATGGCTTGTAAAAGGCTGAGGAAATTCATCAAACCAGTAATCCCATCTATCAGCTCCAGTAACATTGAAATATACAATATAATTATAATGTACCAATACAATTCTACTTTGTAATGTGTTTTGGTCTTGCTCTTAATATGAAACAATAGTCATACTAAGCATTTTAAACATGACAATAAAAATAACTAAAGAGTTTACTGGGGGAGGGGAAGGACAATTGACAAACGAAAATATGCTGCAAGTAACACAGGGAATGAAAAAGAAGAAATTTATATTATTAGGATTTTTGTTTCCTTCCTGCTGCTGTTCACATTGTGTCCAGTAGGTGGCGAACATGCACCTTTAGTTTTTTTTTTTTACCAGAACAAACGAAGAAGACGTGCAGTTTAACATAAATGTTAGTCCAACAATACCTCTACCTGTCATACATCCATGGATATTTGCAGAACCATCTGTAGATCTGAAACTATTAGGGGAAAAAAAGAAAAACTAGTAATATAAACTCAAATACAGTCATAGATTATATTAACCAATACTACGGATATCTTCAAATATATACAGACGCATCAAAAATACAGTAGATCAAGTCGGAGCAGCATTCATAGTACCAGAATTCAAAGTAAAAGTAGGGAAAAGGATCAGTGATGAGTTATCAGTATAAACAGGAGAAATGTTAGCAATGTTATTGGCTGTTCAATGGATTGAGGATAATAAACCACTCAGATCAATAATTTGTTCAGATTCCAGCTCTTCATTAATCAGTATAGAAAATAATAACTCAGAAAGTAGATCAGACATATTATTTGAAATACAACAAACACTGTACAGGATTAAAATGATGGGATTAATAGTGACATTCTGGATACCAGCACACATTGGAATAAAAKRAAATGAAATGGCAGATAAAGAAGCAAAAAAGGCTACCAAAAATAAAGTAGTTGACATTGAAATAAAATTCAGTAAAACAGAAATAAAAAGCATTATAAAGATGAAAATGAGACARAAATGGCAAAAACAATGGGAGGAAGAAAGAAAAGGTCGATGGTTGTATAAAATTCAACGGAAAGTGGGAGAAATGAGGAGTACTGGAGGAAACAGTCATATCAAGACTCAGATTAGGACATACAGGRYTAAATAAATCATTATTTRTAATTGGAAAACATAATAMTGGAAAATGTGATTABTGTGGAGAAGATGAGGATATAGAACATGTTTTAATACATTGCAAAAAATACCAAAATGAAAGAAATCAATTGATTAAAAGACTCAATGAAATTAAAACAAGATTTGATATTATAGAAATATTACGAAGTAATTCAAATTCTGAAACCTTTCAATTGTTATTGAAGTATTTAAGACAGACTCGATTGAATGAAAGAATATAGTTTTTTAAGAGCTGTTCCAGTCCACACTCCACACCAGTAGGTGGCGGTAATGCACCTTAACGTTGTTTGCCAACCGCCAAAAAAATAACTAAGAAGAAGAAGAAGAAGAAGACGTGCTGTTCAAGGGAGCACGCGAAGAAGAAGCAAATTCGCCTGAACATGGCTTGTCCCGGTGGCTGTGACCATTATGTTCGCAACTGTTTGCTGAAAGTGAGTATCTCTTTGAAATCCGTCGCGTATATTTAGGAAATCTGTTGTTGTACGTGCACGACTGCAGGTATATCTCCGGTGTTATAACGACACAGGCGGCCTRTCTGTCGGTGAATGTTCATTTCGACTCTTGTGTTACGAAATAAAATGCCTGTTTACACATTTTAACTAAACAATGGAATGGTTGTGGATTTAGTTAGGGCCGTGTTAACATATTGGTTATTGTTGAATTGTTTGAATGATGATGTGTGTGATTGATGCAGTCGGTGTTCCCATCCCTGCAGGCGCCTTGCTGTGGCAGACTGTATGTGTGTCGACTGTGCCACGACGCAGAGGAGAACCACCAGATGGATCGCTTTAAAGTCAGAGAGGTGCAGTGCTGTGAATGTCAAACCTTACAGCAGGTAACTCATGAGACATTATTTTGAGGGGCCTCTGCTCACAGGMAGTTGTTTCATTGTTCAATAATGTTGCCTAAAATGATGGATCCTGTTCTTCCAGGCACAGCAGACCTGTCAGSAGTGTCACGTCCAGTTTGGGGAGTATTACTGCCATATTTGTCACTTGTTTGACAAGGATCGGAAGCAGTACCACTGTCATTCTTGTGGAATATGCAGGTGAGAAACTGTAAAGGTAACGTACCTCAAACAGAAAATAATAGCTTGTTAAATGTTACGTATTATGAATTGTCAAAAAGTGAAAACCTAATGAGGTCATTATTTGTGTTCTGTCCTCTCCAGGATCGGGCCCAGGGAGAAGTACTTYCACTGTGAGAAGTGTAATTTGTGTTTAGCCCAGGAGCTGCGAGGAAACCACAAGGTGATCAGCTCGTTGTGCTTTGTTTTCACCATGTGTGCTCTGGTTTGTGTTGATTTAACTCTCCGTGTGTTTCAGTGTGTTGAAAACGTATCCAGACAAAACTGCCCAGTGTGCATGGAGGTAAAAACACCTAAAGTTCATTAAAGTAGAGGCATGTTGGATATTAATGTAAGCTGATTCTTTACAGTTTGTTGTTCTTTTTTTATACAGGATATTCACACATCCAGAATTAGCGCTCATGTTTTCCCATGTGGCCATCTTTTACACAAGTAGGACTCCTTTTTGTTATTATAGTTTTTCTGAATATTGTTTGGTCAGGCTCATATGGTTGAACTGTGCAGCCTGATTTATTTATTTTTTTATATACCGGTAAATATATGAATGTGAGCAAAAAGTGGAAAACCCACAAAAGCAAGACACCTTTCAGGCCACTGTTTTACTAAAATCTTCTTGTGTTGGAAATTGATGACAAGCTGAAAATATGACCTGTTAGCGCTCTGAGCATGTATCAGTCTCAGCTACTCCAATATTTAACTCATTATCTGCAGAACTGACTGGGTTAGAGACATTTTTGTTTTCGCTAAGCTTGATTTGGGTTGACTTCAAAAGGTAATTACTTGTGGATCTAAATGCAACGTTTACTTTCTGTGTGTTTATGAACATGTCTCCAGTTGTTTTTGAGATATTTTGCTAACAGACAGTCAAACAAGTTAACAGATAGACATATAATTGATCATCTTTTATGGTGGTGAGTGATTAAAAATGAAGCAATGCTTCCCTGATTAGTATTTATTTTACAGTTAAAAATATGTTTATTAAATAAAGTCTAATATTACAACTAATCAGGGATCCCTTTAACACAATTCTGTTCAAGGAAGATATATCAAAGAATCTGGACTTTATGTTTCTTGAAGATATCTTCTTGAGTCAGAAACAAAATCTAGTTTTTCAAACTGGAATAAAGGAGAGGAAATACCAGATTTTTGTTTGTTTGTTTGTTTGTTTTGTAGGGGCTCGTCTTAAATAATTGAACATCTGTTATGATTTGAAAGTAACAACTTGTTTGTTCACAGGAGCTGCTTTGATGACATGGTTCACACAGGGTAGGTCTAACAAGTCTTTTTTTTTTTTTTTTTTGCTCAAATGTGCTTTTTGTTAGACTGAAGTAACACTACAGTTTAATTTCTTTAAACAGAAGTCTCGTATGGCATTTGGGGAAACATAAAACCTGTTTTGTTAGTTTTTCTCTCAGCTTAATGTTTCCTTATAAAAAGTTCTTATTTTTATCTACAAATGTTGTATATTATGATAAAATAATTGACACGGATAAAAGGAACTCACATTAAAATGACATTATTGAATTGTTGTAGTGGATATATTATATTATATTGTATTATATTATAT